AGATCATCTGGGACTAGTGGTGGATGCTGGAAGGTAAGAATCAGAAGGACAGGCAGGAAGTAAGGAGCAGTAGACAGAGGCTTGGCAGTCAGAGTGCTGTGGCTGGCTCAGGTGACAGTGGAAGATGAACCCAGGGTGGTGGGAAGCTTACCTGGGGGAGTATAGGTTACATTGCATTGTATTGCATAAATGCATTTGATGACATTAGTGAGAGCTTTGGGTGTTGTAGAGTTCGAACATTTCTTTAATCTGAAAGTAGTTGTGGTATTGCTGTAAGAAGATGAGTACTACAGCAGCATGTAAGGTAAATTGCAGGGGAGAAGGAATTAAGTCAGGGAGATTCATTAGCATCTGTTTTCAGGAGTCCAGATGTGATCAGAAGTCCAGAGGTTTCAGAGAGTGGTGAAGTGCATGAGAAAAAGCTACAGTGGATGTGGAAGGACCAACAAGATAGTGTTACTGTCATTGGTGGGCAGAAATAGATCTAACGTTTATTTTCCCACAAGAACTCTTGATTGGAGCTGAAGGCCTTAGGCTTAGGACCAGGGTCCCATGTAAAAATGTCTCATCCTTTGTTGCTGGCAGAGCAGATGGCTCTGGAACAGACAGCAATGATTTGTTTTTTTTCTTTTCTTCCATCAACTGCCTTGTCTCCCTGCCTGGTCCCCATAGTGAGGGCCACTCAGTAGGGTCCTACTGCTTGGGACCTTCAAAAAAAATCTTGCTAATGAGACTTAGGCAGTGTTTCCCAAAGTACAGTCCTTGAAAGCTTGTGGGTTTTTAATAGATAACAACAGGGATGGGGTCAGTGCCAGAGTTCTGTGGTCAAGTAAGTTTGGGAATACTTTTAGACAATTAAACAGACTTCTTTATTGCAAGCCTTCCCAGAGTGTTCCACAGGAACTACTTTCCACTGGACTAAGTTGTCTCTTTAAGAGAGGGGTAGCTTACAAACTTATCAGACCATGGGCCTTATTTTAGAAGAAGCACCTTGAGGAAAGAAGAATGCACAGCATATGTTAGGAGAAATAAGAGACTGGAGAATTTGTCTGAAAAATAAGTATTTTTTTTTTAGAGGTTGGTAGGGCAATGAAAAGAAAGAAGAGGCTGGGATTTGGGTTTGAAATCTACGACTAACTGGAGATCTAGAGGAAGTCATTGAGCTCCTTTTCGCCCCAGTTCCCACAAGGTTTTTATTAGATGAACTCTTAAGGTCCTTACAACTCCCAAAGTATGAGATCATGTATATATTGAGAAGAGGAAAATAAGCTGTGATTTTGCTACATTGGTAATTGAAAGTGGAGGGTAGGGGACAAAGTTAGAGGGAACATTGATGAGAAGATGAATAATATGTGGTTTGAACCCCTGAGCTAAATATATGGTTTGGCGCAGTTACAGTGCTGGACTGATGGAGCAGAGACAAGTGAAGTTTGTAGTTTGTTCTCAGGCTTCTCTGTACCCAGTCTTGTCATGTGGTGCATGGGAAACTATTACAGCTGCTAAGGCAAGTCTCAATGGCAGTCTCAGTTTTACTATATAGAAGTTGTGAAGCCTTGGATAAATCAGTTGGTTAATGCTCAGAGTTTGGGTTTTCTTCATCTATGAAATGAGGGAGTTGGGTTAGATCAAGAGTTCCTGATGTTTTGTAAAGGATGAACTATCTTTTAAATTGTCCCAACTCTTACCTGGAAAGAGTAAAGGAAACAGAGATGTTTTCTTCCCACTCACCCAACGTGAGTAGACCTCAAGATTCTGTCTTTAAATTAACCTAGAAGGTAACACCCACGCACAGGAAATCAATGTGAGTCAATGCCCTGTATAGCTATCCTTATCTCAACCAGCAAAACCCCTTGTTCCTTCCTATTATTGCTTATACTCTCTCTACAACAAAATTAGAGATAAGGGCAAAATAGTTTCTGCTGGGTATTGAGGGGGGGAGCGGGAAGGGGTGGAGTGGGTGGTAAGGGAGGGGGTGGGGGCAGGGGGGAGAAATGAACCAAGCCTTGTATGCACATATGAATAATAAAAGAAAAATGAAAAAAAAAAAAAAGATTCTGTCTTTAATTTTCTTCTTTCCAGGTTATCCCACCTGTCTCAGACTTCCCCTACTGCCTTAGGTAGTTGAAGCTCAAACGGGTATGTCTAACACCAAACTCTCATGCCACACTCAAATTCTACCTCTCTGCTGACTGTGTCTATCTTTTTCCATTTTAAGGAAACCAAATACTTTACCTTCAAAGTCAAACTCCAAACATTCCTTTAAAAACTAATTTCTCCTTTGGTTTTCCCAGGCATTAAAAAAAATAAGGATGTGCTTCTGATCACATGCAGGTTGGAAACCTAGCCTTCTCTGACTTCTTCCTTCTGTCCTACTGTCTGTAGTCATGGGTCAGTCTCAACCCTTATCATTATACCTCCATAGTATTTCTTTTCCCTGCTAACATCATTATTCTAGGTCGGGTTCTAATTGGTCACTCTGACCCTCTTGCTTTCCTTTAAAGCATCCTGCACTCCAGGTTCAACCTCATAGAGCTTCCCATAACCTGCTATCCCTTTCTTCCAAAGCCTTTTCTGTATCACTCATGCTGCGCCCCTGCCAGCATCCACAGCTGTTTTCCCACTCCAGCAATTTCTAGTTTTCTCTTCTATGTGTCTCTTTCTATATGTTCCTGGCCTCCAGCCAATGATTTATTGATCTTCTCACCCTATAACTTATTCAAATTGTTCTATTTTCTTAAACTTTCATTTTTACTCTTTCTACCTAAGTCCTAGTTAAATTTCAAGAGTGAGGTTAAATGTACCTCTTCACTCCATCAACGTCTTTGCTGAACATTCAACTGGTTTGATTTCCCCTTCTGGTAGTACTTGATTCTTTCCTATCTTTTTACTTCATCGACCCAAATGTGTATGCTTGTCCCTCTATATTCAAGGGTTACACCCATGGATTCAATCAACCTCAGATTGAGAATATTTTTAACCTCTGATGGCTGTGCCTTACTAAATGTATGCAGATTTTTCTCAACATTATTCCTTAAATGATACAGAATTGCAACTGTTTATGGAAAACTTACATTTTATTATGTATTATAAGTAATTTAAAATACATATAAGGATGTACATAAAATTATATGCAAATACTGTGGCACTTTGTATAAGGGACTCAGATATCCTCAGGGGTCCCGGGGCTGTTGTCACAGGTACTGAGGGACTGCTGTGCATACATTAACATTAACTTATTAAGCTATGAATTGAAATAACAATCTATAAATTGAAATAATGTACTAGCCTTAACAACTAACTTACTAATAAAATACTAGTTAAACTTAAATTACAAAAATGAAATAATATGCAGCAATCCAAAACTAATAAAGTCTTGGTATTCTGCTATCTTGTTTTGTGTCTAGTTTAGGAATGATGCTCAGAAGAGTTTTTATTTTTATTTTTATTACACTATTGGCTTGGTGGAACCATTGGTTAGATGTACTTTGTATCTACTGTGAAATCTCAGCATTTATGAAACCACTGGCTTGCCATGTCATGGCAGGGTGACACCCTTTCTAGTTGGAGCATTGTCTGATGAATAAATGAAACTTGGGCTTTGTTGTAGGACAGACTTAGGTTAGAATCCAGACTTACCCTTTTTAGCTGTGCTACCTTGGGAAATTTAGTTAGAATCTCTGAACCTTAGTTTCCTCATTTGTATATGGAAGCAATAATACACCTCCCTGTCTTTGTTACAGGTGGTTGTTCTACTCCTGATGTAGTTCAAAAGTAAATCATCCATGCCGAGAAGCTCATTCCAACCTAGTGCATTTTCTCTAGGTTCCCTGGAAGTATAAATGTAAACCACACTGGGCTGTGTAATTTCAGAAACATACTTGGAATGCTGAAACAAATGCAGGCATTGTTGGTGCCCATTTTCCTGACCTGGTGAGATGGAAAGGAGAATGGCACTCTTGTGTTTCTCGTTTTGAATCAGACAGATGACAAACACTTAAGAAAATTTCCTTTTTGGTCAGCAAAACATCCTCAGTCATCTTTACTTGCCCATGTCTCCTATACTGTATCTCTAGACATTTTAAGAGGCTAGACCATTGGAGCTCCTGAAAAGCTAGCTTGTTCTAGGATGTAAAATTAGGCCCATACCTTATTTCTGTTCATAGCACAGAAATGAAAGATGGCAATTATTATGACAGTTATTTAGCATTGAGTAGGAAGGTTTTATACATAATTGTAGTTATTCTTCTCAATAACTTTATGAGACAGGCATCATTAGTTCCATTATTCAAATAAGCAGAAAGAAACTCAGTGACCTGTGGGGACTGTACAACTAGTAAATCTCAGAGCAAGGAAGTAAACCAGATGGTCTAAACCACATTAACATTTGAAGCTTTCAATGTGTGTGGACTAAATTAGCTGAATGAGGTGGGTTTTCTTTTGCCACCTTAGTGATACAGGGAAATAGCTTTCAGGAATATAGTTCATAGATTCTTGCACCCTGCTTTCTTCCCTCATGATGTGACACTAATGACTGTATTTCAAAAGAGGTGAATGTTTGTAAATAGTGTTATATGTGTAGAGTCAGACATTGTTAATGCACAGTTTTCTGAATTAATGAGGTAAGCCCCAACTACTAAAGAGCAGAAATATGGTAAAAGTTAAAACTTAAGAGAGTTCCAAAAATGTAAAAGAATGTCACTCTTACTAAATCTTCTTTGAAAAAAGTACATTTTTTCATAAAAACTATCATTAATGTTAACATAATTGTTATTATGGAATTAATGTATAATAACTTTTTAATTTGTAAATCATTACATACAGGAAGGAATAAACAGGGTCTCTTTGAGGTTGTCTGGATGTGCCCAGTTCCTCCAGGGTTTGCTGTGCTTGGAAGCTTTGTTGCATAGTCGTGGGTGGACATGCCAAGAAGGAGATAAATGTAAATGAAGTAAAAGCTTGTAATAAGATACTGCTTTCCTTTTTTTCCCCCATCCATAAAGGGAGATCTACAAGTGGCCTGGGGTTCAGTGCTCTAGAAAGTTCCAAGGCTTGTGGCTTGAAATATTTTGAAGAAGCCGAAACAATTGAAGAGAAGCAGAGGCCTTCTATTTTTGAGGATTCTGCTCTACAGAGAATGCTCTGCACCCATTGAGGTAAGTAGGGCCTGTCACTGAAGTTTTGTCACTGCATGAAATTGAAAGTGGTAGAGGAAGGATGTGTAAACCCCCATTAATACTGGCTGGTGTCACAGGGAAAGTTGAAGACTTGAGTTCTGTGCCTAGAGCTGATATCAAATGAGGAGAAATGTATTGAATTATATAGGAAACCTGATGTTAAATGCCAGTAAACTCCATTTCTGCTGATCCAGTTGTGACCAGCCCCAGATTAGAGGTCAATCCTGGGGTGCCCTGGCCAAGGGTTTTTTCCCAGCTCTGAGTGATTCAGAGCATCTGGCCTCATGGTGGAACTTGTCCATCCCTACAGGACCCACTGGAACCTCTGAGGTTCCTGGATGGATGGATGTTTTCTAATATTACAATTCATTAAAATATATATAAGTTGCTTTCTCTACCAATAATTTGAAGTAACTTGCAGTAAAACAATATACAACCTTCAAAATCTGGATAATAAGACAAGAGTCTGAAATAAAGTTTTGGAGGAACAATAATGTACAATAACAGCTAGTCCAGGAGCACTTATTTCAGATTTGTAGAACACTGAGTTGGGACTTGAGACAAAAGGAGAAGCTTGCTGAGTTTTTATTAGGAAACTTCCCACATGTCAAGGTGTTCTGCTGCAGGTGATTTTTCATGTGAATGGACTTCTTGCTTCATCCTTTGGCAGGCTCAAATCCCACCAGTAAATACAGAGCTGTGACAATTTCATGCCCTCCAGGCCTTCCTAGCCGGGAGCTTATTGAAATCAGAAACCACATTTCTTTCATGTCTGTGTCTCCAGCACACAGGATGCTCAGTAAGAACCCACTGACTTTGCTGTATCCTTCACAGCTTCTGGAATACTTGTTGAATGAATGAATGCTTGAGTAAGTAATGTGAACCTCTGAGTTTTGTGAGTGATGAATGATTATTGGGTATGGGCAAGAGCAAAGTAGTATTTTTTGATATTCCCTCTCTCCCTCCCTCCCTCCCTTCTTCTTTCTTCCTTCCTTCCTTCCTTCCTTCCTTCCTTCCTTCCTTCCTTCCTTCCTTTCTTCCTTCGTTCCTTTCTTTGATAGATCTTGGTAGTGGAAAGCCAAGAGGTCTTAACTAGAATCTTCACAGTGGACATTTCAGAATGAATAATTCATAGCTATGCTTAGCCACTAATCAGAAGCTATTTCAGGGTTTCTCTATTACATTAGATTTCTCAAACATTATTTATCTATGAATCATTCTGCTTTACCTTTCAAGAACTATCATTGTGGTCTTTTCTTTCTCTGCCACCAATCTTAAATAACTATTTTCAGAACTCATTATTTCCATATCCAAGGCACACACTATATATAGTCCTGCCAAGTGAGGCCTGGTTTGGGTGTCCTCCCCTCCCCCCACTTTCATACACCTGGAACTATGGTAAGTACCTCAACTTCTGCAGGTGACAGCCCTTCTGTTTAATAACCCAGGCTCATTCTTTTTCTAGGAATGATGAAACTATTTCAGTCTGTTTAGAGCTTTAATAAGTCTCAATTTCCTTTTCCTTATTAATATTATGACCAAATTGTTTAGCTTTCAAACTGGAACATGGGTGTAGAAAGGGAGAGTAATTAATAGGTAATCTGGAACAGTGAATTGCTCTGTATGCATGGCCACTTACTTTTTGAAGAGCTTGAATCTTTAATGGATACTGAGAGCAGACATTAACTACAGCCTTTGGAGATTAAACCCCTGAGTTCTGGTTAGTTGTTTGCTTAGGGGGTAGGGATTCTGGCATAGATTTCATAGCACTGAGTATTTCTAATAAGTCAGTGGGAGCCTGTCCCATGGTGGACTTTAGAGTTCCCAGGGGAAGATGGTGGAGATTGCCATGACCTGTGTTTATCAGATGCAGGTACAGTCAGCCAGTCTTCCTCTTCCCTCTTCTTTCCGCTCCCTCTTCTCCCCAATGTCTTCCACCTTCCCACCTTCTCCTATTTCCTTCTGATTCTAATTCTCCTACTCTCTCTCCTCCCTTTGTCTCTCTCCTGTTTTCTCTTTGGTCTTCTGTTCTTCCATCTATTTTCTTCTATTTGTCACTCACACTCTTTTTTTCCTCTTTCTCTTAATATTTTTTCAGGGAGGCTAAAAGAGCAACTATGCCAACATTAATTTCTCGTTGGTAGGGAAATGTCTGTATTTCCAATTGTAGCTTGACTTTCCTTCATGGGTTAGATACTTTCCATGGCAATGGCCTAGGGATAGTCTGTTTCTGATGCATCTCTGACAAAAGGTTCTGTTGAAGTATATCCTAGAGGACATTTTTTCTAGGGCATGGAGACAGCACAACCTGGAGTGTTGGAGGTGGAGGTATCACTAGGAAGGAGTAGAAATTGGGGCTAACTGGTTACAGAGTGGATTATGGCTGTGGTAAATGAGATACTGTGATCTTGTGGCTGAGATTTTGGAATCTGGCTGTGCCATAACTATTTTAGAAATGGTAGGGTTGTGTACAGGTAATCAGAGGGCCCATAGCTATTGTGGGTGTACCACCAGAGAGGGAAGGGGTGTATTAGAAACTGAGGGAGCAAGCTCTTCAAAGGGAAAGGGAAGTAAAACATACAAAGGTCAGCTCAGACATTTCTGGATGAACAGGGCTCCAGGAATGCTCTGAAAAGCATAATCTGAGGATGGACTTCAGTCATCTAAAAATACAGCTTGTGGGCTAGAGATTAGTAAGTTCTTATTTGTTCATGAGATTCAAGAACTTTGTGTAATATTTTTACTTGCTAAAATAAGAGCAATGTTTACTGAGTATCTGTGATATGTAAGGAACTATTGAAGCAGTTTGAAAGGAAATGGACATAAATATATAAATAAGAGATAATCCCTGCCTAAGTTTCTCATGGGCTAAAAGGAGAGAAAAGGAACAAACTGAGAACTACTCTCACAAAGAGGTAAGCATGAGTCAAGAGAGTGACGAATGGTTAAAGGAAGGAGAAAGCACTTCTTGCTGGGATGTGCAAAGAACAAATGCCCTGAATATGGAGGGTGTGGAGCTTGGGCCAAACCTTGGAACTGGGAAGCAATTCAATACACAGAAGGAAAGGTGTGAGTCAGTTGTTATTGTTGGAGCTGACATAGGTGACAAGGACCCAGAGAGACCTGTTCTGGGCATGTGGGGTGGAGGAGAGGGAGCAAATTTCAGTCTACCTGGAGCATAGGGTAGGTGGAAGAGTGACAGAAGATAAAGCTGGGAAGGAGAGCAGCTGCCAGGGTGCAAAGAGCCGTGACTGTGGGCTGGGCTAAGAAATCTGGATGCCATCCTGGGGACTCAGCATCTGCATTGTACATGATCCAAGAGGGAAGGACGACTTTACTTTTGGAGATGCTTATTCTTAATGTCCCTCTTGCTGAGTATGAATACAGTTCTGAGTGAGATTGAAGGTATCATAACAATAAAGCTTCAGGGGGAAATTTCTGGAGTCTAATGTGTGTGTGTGTGTGTTTATTGCATGAAACACTTTGAGCCAGTATTTTCCAAGGTCTCAATTTTTCATTTTTGCTCCCAGTATTTATAGAGCTTATAAAAAGTAGGTTTAAGAATTAGCCAAAGACTTTTGCTCTCAGAGAAGATCTTGGACTGCTAGCAAGAATCTTATTTTCATTGCTTAAAAATTTCTCCTATTACATTAGTTATTCCTGAATTGTTGGTTGTGTGAATAATGTTGTTAGATGTTCCTGACTGGTATGAATCTACTCCAAGTTCTACTTCCAGGGGCTTGGGGCTCCTAGCTCTTCCTTTGGATGAATGATAGGAATCTAGAATCTTCTTTCTCAACACTCACAGTATTTTTCAGAATTTCTAACAGGTTCTTAATTGTCTTAGAAGAGAAATTCATATAGTCTCTTATATCAATTGATTATATGTGGGAGTTTTTGTTTCCCTTGAAAGATTGTGATTCCTGCTTAGCTAAGATCTGAATGTCCATCAGACATTATAATTTCATTGAGCTGACTTCCTCCTCTACAAATTGATTCCACTAGTTGTTTAAAGTAAGTTTGAATTTCCCAAAGATCTGGAAAGAGTCAAGAGAAAGTATGGGACCAAAAAAAAAATTTCCTTGTATGAGTTGGGTGGAATCTGTATTTTACACCTGTAAACATAGTGTCAGTCCCAACCCACGTAGTGTCAGTCCCAACCCACTTCTGGCTATTCACTGGGCAGACAGATTCAGACAGTGTGGGCTTAGAGTCCTTCTTTTAATTCCCCTGGGGAACTCCACCACCTGTCTCTTATTTGGGATTTTTGAATTGTGAAATGATGGCACACACACGCTCCAAGAATGGCTGCATATGTATGTCAAGCATACAGAGACAGAAGGCAGAGATGTTGGCCAAAGAGCAGGAAATACAAAAGAGGGGCTGGCATGGAGGCATCTGCTCCACAAACATAGTAGAGCCGGAGGTTGTGGGAGGAGAGGCGGGTCCCACGTAATCACTTGAGGATGTGGACACTGTTCTGATTTGCAAGTCTTGGAGATCATGGCTTTCCTTCCAGAACCACATGAGAAGTGGATGTAAGAGAACTGGGATCTTTTATCCTCATCAAGAGTTATCTGCAGCCAAAGAGGTTCAGTGTGGGATTCTATGAGAATCTTTGCTAAAGTCTGGGAGCTTTAATTAGTTCACTTTCCTTCTTTGTCTGCATAGCTCAGATCACAGAGTATTCTGAAAATATGGTAAGTCTTTTCTCCTCAATTCTAGAGTCTGTCTCATCTCTAGCCAATTCTGAGAGTTTGTAGAAGTGAATTAGGGCCTCTTATGTTGACAGTGATTTGCCCTGTGGCTGGGGAGCCCTCATGGAATTTCCTAAGGTGCAATAGTAGATTAGCTCAGCTGGTCAGAATATGGGAATTTCAAAGCCAATGTTACTGTTTGGGCTGACATTGGAAGAAGTAGATGCATAAATTCACTTATTCATTCAATGATTATACCTTGTAACATCTACCATGTACAGA